GTGGCGCTCCGGGCATGTGTTGCTGTGACATGGCTCTAGTCAGTACCGTTCCTGGCGATCGGTGGTAGCCCGTCCATGTCGACCTTGGACCAAGATGTCGACGACGATGCGGGCGGCTGGCAACCGACTGAGACCTGCGATTGTCCTGCACACTGCCTGACAAATGTGTCTGTACTCTGCATGTCCAAGGCAGATGGGGATTTGCAGCGACCCGAGACAGAGAGCGACGTAATTATCCACTATCGCAGGCTTTCAGAGCAAGACGCAAACCAAGCGCGAGCCCGTGGGGAGGCCAAGGATAGGTAGAGCCGGATACTGCAAAGCCGCCATTTGCGGCGAGGAAGAAGAAAGTAGGCTGTCGATCCGTGTGGGCAGACGGGGGCGGCGGCAGTGGCAGCAAGGATTGAGTGGTGGTGAGGCTGCTCGGATTGCTGAATAGGCAGTCCGTCTGTACGTTGCGAGAAGGCTAAAAAGCCGGCTTGGGTGGTTCATTTTGCAGAAATGACGATGGCAAGTGACGTGACGGCCCAAGCTCAAGAGGAACGAGGTCGACCGAGACGGGCCACCAAGTCGAACGCATGAACCTGTCATCGAAACTCGAGGAAGCACAGAATTGTCAAAGAGCGCTATCATGGTGTGTGTCCGTAGTATAAAGGTGTATTCCGTACACTACATAGTCTGTATGTTGGGCTGGCATCCCATCTGTTCGGAAAGGTGCAGGGTTGGTGGTTCTTGAAGTGCCGTGCTGCGGGTTGTGGTGTAAGCACGCTCTGAAGCTGAAAGCCGACTGCGAGGTATCCGTATCCGTAGGGGAAAAAGGTACTAGCCCGCAGCTTCCATTCCTTTCAGATTGTCGATTTCCATGTTGGGACTATGAAATGCAGTGGAAAAGCCAGTCACGGCAAGTGTACCTTGATAAGTTCAACCTGCCACACTTTCTTCAGTGGGGCCGCAACTTTGCGGCAAATGCACCTGAACCTTGCCGTTGACGTTCCTCTGGAAGGGATTCCCTTTCTCTGGACTCGTAGCTTGCACTTTGCAGTGTTGCACAGGCTCCCGGGGGAGCTCAGCACGAGATGCGTTGACGAGTCCGTGTATTGTTTTTTTTCTGCTTCCATTGCTCGGGCAAGGTAGGCCGCCGGCACAGCTGAGCTGAACCGGAACCAGACAAATCCAACAAGACGAGGCCGAGGCCATAGCAGGCGCGTATTCTCGTGTCATGTCGTATGGGATGATGATGGATCTCGATCTTGTGGGCTATTGATGGATCCTATGCGTCCCTTGATGTAAGTCTCCTCTCTCCCTCAGTCTTGTTTCCCCCTTGGAGTTGGATTGGAGCGAGGCTAGGAAGGAAGAGAGTGAGGCCCTCGCCTTGTCGACAGTCAATGTCATTGACGGTTGGGGGGAAGTGTTCGTAGACGACCGGAGGACAGCCCGCACAGTCTTGAACACTGTCTCTGGATCGGGCACGGCGGATAGTGCGTGCAATTAGACAGTCTCTGTGCATCTTCTCGTTGGTCTCTCGTCTTGTTTATCCAAATGGTCCGTGTGATGCTTGATCGTGTCAATCAATGCCACACTGTCTGGCCTGTCGGTGGAGATGGGTGCAGGGACAGGCAGAGTGAGGTGCAGTTGACCAAGGGGGACGAAGGTGGGGGAGAAAGCTCCAAGTGGCGTAAAGATACCATGTCCTAGTCTACGTACTCCATACCGCTCTGCTCCATGTGCTCCATACCTAAGGTACGGATACCTCCTTGCCCTGAAGACAAACCACATGACCTGGGCTTCCTGGGGCTTCCAACCTGATGTTCTGACAATGAATTACCTAAGGCAGGAGACAAAGTCTCAGGTATCTTTTCCACCATCCATCCCGACCAACACGTGTGTCAGCGGGGGAAGATGCTGACATAAGACAGGAACGGGCAGTACTATGGCCTATGCGTTCTCGTAATTAATTACTATCCCGTACCTTAGTCTGCAGGTGAGGTAAGGTACCTCACCCTCAGGCAACCGCAAGTACTCTCTCTGTACGGAGTATCCGTACCTTTTCTCTCTACACACCTTTGCGTCTCATCTCAATACGTCCATTTCACTCTCTTTCTCAATCGCCTTCTTCATCTTGTCTGCCACAATTCATCCATGAGCTTGATTGACACTTGCCATCACTAGTCATTGCCGTATAAAACTCGTCATCACTTGACGAGCAGCTGCGACTACCACAGTAAGAAAGGGGGAAGGGAGTCTCTACTTTGTACTCCTTGACTTCTCGGGCTCTGGAGCATCGCGCCAACTCTCATCTTACCAATCGTCTAGTGAGCACTAAGTAAGAGCCGGACTTGTCAACTCGACCCGGCAACTAACTAAGCCGTCCGCGCCCGTCCCCCTCTCAGAAAACATTTTTGCCCCTCTCTCTGCGCTCTATCCTGTTGTTTTAGCTTCAACAAGATGCTTCTTCCACGCCCAGAGAAACCAGTTGTAGTGTACTCCGTACAGAGTAGCGTCTGATGTCTGCGCAAGTGCAACGCGGCAAATTACACGCCGCAGCGGCATAAACACCCAGACCCTGTAGCTTGTGTCTGGTGCAAGCTCATCCGAAGTTTCTTCCTACGCTTCATTTCATCTTTGCCCGTCACAGACAATGGACAAGACACGCTCACTCGCACACAGTTCTCGGTACAAACAGTAACACTCATCCACGCAGCACAGACTTCAGCTACCGTCGCCTGTCCGGATCAGATGATGCCATTGGGATCGTCGAGACTGTCTGGCTTGACCTGCCCCGCCTGTCTCGTTGTCTCCTGTTCTGCAATTCTGCCCTCCACAACCTGAACCACTTCTTCAACTGCCCTCTCGTCACTACCCCTTCCGGCTTCGGGTTGAGTCGAGTCAAGCCGATACACTGCCTGTCCCTTTCGGTCACATTCTCGCCACTTTTCAAGAGCCCCTTCGAAGCCGACGGGATGCTGTCCGTCTGCCCGTCAAAGTACCGACTCTCTTCTCTAAATCACCGCTCGATTGTGTAGTTATGCCATGCTCATCTCGTTTTCTACGCTGCCTCAGTTCTACCATTCTTTGTACAGTGTACTACTGCTCCTCTTATGGCTGGCAGCGCATTGACTTGTCATTCTGTAATGTCTTGTTCTCGTCCCTTTGGCGGTTCGTCACTGCCCTGTCATTCGGTCTGTCAGTCGTTGGCCTTGTCACGGACGGTACAAACTCCCTGGCCTTGACAAGTGCCATCGTTCATCACCGAGAGGCCTCGCCCGCGTAGTCAACGGAGACACGTCCAAGTCCACGCCTGCCGGGCCTATCTTCAGCCCAGAGCAGGGGAGTCGAGTCCAAAGTTTTTAGTGTGGCACCAACTGACATGGGGGCGTCGTCCAAACCCAGGGACGCAAAGACGCTTCATGGACCAGGGGTCGGGACTGACGCCGGGGCCGGGGGGGCCAGGATTCTGAACCAGGGGGTGTGGGATGAGATGGGATGGGTTGCGAATGGGACGTGTGGATGCCCGGTGGATGTAAAGGGTTCACTCTCAATTCAGGTTCGCTCAGGTGGGTGCAACCATCCTACCACCCTGCTCCTGTCCGTCCTGTGTCCTCCTCGCCCTCGCACTCACTCACGCACTCACTCATACTCCAAAGCTGGAGTCGGAGGCTCGGAGGAGCCCAGCTGCTGATGCCGCTGCTCACTGCACAAATCCCCCAATGTCACTCAAATCCATCCTCGACATGTAGTGTAGTTTCCTCCCCCCCTCTCTCTCTCACTCGCGCAGGCGCTGTGCTGACATGGATACACCCTCATCCACACATCGGCTCTCCTCTCACTTTAACTCTCACCCTCACAGCCTGCTTGTCCCCTCGCTCCGCCGGCCACGTCCGCTTCTCCCGCGGCACCTCATCCTCATCCTCATCCTAAGGCCCAAGGTTTGGTCTGGGTCTACCTGCATAGCTTAGCACAGTCTATCAGTATGGATACACAGTCTGTGCCTTATGCACAAGTGACCGCGGCTCGAGCCCTGTCCTGTCCTGTCCTGTCCTTTCCTGTCTCTCCGCTGCTTTGCTTACCTTACCTTACCTTACCTTACCTTACCTTAGCTTTGCTGGCTTGCCTTGTCCGCCCTGCCCTGGCCCCTAGAGACCCTCCATGACCCTCCCCTTTCTCTTCCCTCCCAGGGCCCGAGAGTCAAGAGAGTTGACCCCCTTGCTCCCTTGGTCTCCCGATACCTCCACCCAAATATGATCTTCTCACTGCCAAGGGGGGGTACCCGGTGGACGACGAGAGAGGGCCCCCCTTCTTGCTGCTCGCCCATGCCCTGCCGCCACCCCAGCGCCTACCTACACAGTACCGCGCGACTTACACCCACGTCGGCTTGCACACGCACACACGCTCAGCGCTCGCTCTGTGATGATGGGTCGACAAGACACATCAATACATCTTCCGCCTCTCACCCCCCTCCTCTCCCGTCACTCCTTCTTCCCACTCCTCCTGTCATTGTTTTTTGTGCCCTTTCTCTCTCGTCAAGCCTCGTCTGTGCGCCTACAGGCCCTTGCCTAGACAGATCGACTATCTCGCCCTCAAGACCTTGGAGGACTTGAGCAGACCTTGCTGTCTCACCTCTGCGCGGCCCTGCCTGACCCTTCCTCATCCCGCTTGTCGTTCCCCATTCGATCTAAAAGCAGACAAGCTCCCCTCGATCTGCTGTTCCGATTCCCGCGCCTCTCTCACACCCACGTTCTCTCTTCACATCTCTCTTAATATCACCAGGCTCTCAGCCCTCTAACCTCAGTCACTCTTTCACTCAAATCTCTGGTCAGAAGACTTGATCCTGCGGCGTCTAAACACTGCCGGGAACATAATACGCATGCCTATCCCCGTTACTACACTGGTTCTACACTCGCTCTGCACACATTCGTTACCATCGCCATCGTGTTAACCACCGAGCCCCCCCGTTGAACGGTATACCCTCGAGCTTGGCCAACTTTGTCACACCAGCAGTTATGGCGTTCTACCCAAACTACCAGACCGCGTCAGCATACGATTATGGCTTTAGCACTCCTTTTCCCGGAGCCCCTCTGTATCAGAATGATTACATGGAAATGCTACGACAGCAGCAGGCGATGATGAGCCGGGGCCTGTTCCCAGCAGCCGGGGGAAAGGCTACCGAATCCAAACCGAGACTTGCCAAGGACGAAGTCGACAAGCTTGAGAGGGAATTCCAGAAGAACAACAAGCCCAACAGCAGCTTGAAGAAGCAGCTCGCCGAAGAGATGAGAGTAGACATTGCGAGGATTAATGTACTTTTCCCCTTCAGCCTGGATTCCTGAAATACATCCACTGACAGGTTATAGAACTGGTTCCAGAATCGGCGAGCAAAGGCGAAGCAGGAGAAGAGGACACAGGAAAATGAGGCTCGCCGCAAGTCTGAACAGGCTACCGAGACGTCTACCAGCTCCGAGACTATCAAGGAGTCCTTCCATGACCACGATGACGATCTTCGCCCGTCCGCTGCTCCATTCCCACCCGTTCACGTATCAACCGACGTGTCGTCTGTTAGCGAAGCATCACCTTCGGAAGGCACCCAAACCCCAGAGCCGACGTATGAGCAGCCACAGGTCGTTACGCAAGAGCCGGAATCAGAGTACGCCTCGCCCGACTCATCCAACTCTTTCCAGCACCAGGATCTCAACATCGGCTACTCTCTCGGCCCCGAACAATTCTATTCTGGCCAAACACCTTGCGACTTCTCGGCATCTATGCCTTCAGAGGCCATCCAACAAACACCTAACCACTTGACTCTTTCGATTCCCAACCAATACTTGACGACACAGCTTCCCGAGTCAACGAGTGCCTCTTCGTTCTCGTCTTACCACCTAAGCGCAAGCGACATGGACGAGTCTTTCGCTTCTTTCCCCCACGGCATGACTAGCCCAATTCCGATCAACGTCAAGCAGGAGCAAATGCAAAGCGAGGATCTCGACAAGTTTGATCAGTTCTCTCCCCAGTCAATGTCACGGTCCCCTCCCGAAATCTCCACACCAGACTTCCGTTTCAAGTCCGGTTCAACCATCGACATTGCCAGCAGAAGAAACTCCAAGAGGCCCGCTGCCCTCGTCAGCTGCGTGCGCAGCCAGTCCTACAACTTCTCTGGTCCGAAGACCGGCATCGAGATGCCCAGACGCATGGAGGCACCTAGCCCGATGCGCCGCGTTGCATCTGCTACAGGAAACTTCCCGAGGGGAATCCAAAAGCCGACCGGTTCAGGCCCGAGATCGCCAATGTACTTCGATCGTGCCCAGGAGAACCTCCTCTTGCAAATGGCCTCAAGGTCACCGATATCGCGAAGCCCAGCAGCGCCACCAACCCCAAACACACCAATTGTCCCCAGCCAACAAGCTCTACGTGAGACCACCGTCTCATCCATGTCCTCGGCCGAGGATGACAAGAGCTACAGCATGCAAAACAGCCTGACAGTACCGCAGTATGCCATGGACCCTACCATGAGGACCCCGCCGGACACCCCCGGCATGATGACGACGATGCCGAACTCTCTGTTTCCCGCTTTCGACTACAACGTTTCTGACGAGCCGCTGTCGACTCCAAGCTTTGGCAGTTTCGATCAGGAGTTCCCCAACATGTCGTCGAGCGTACCCAGCTATGTCGCACACGGTTGCGCAAGCCAGCCAGTCACACCTTCGTTCCCTCCCAGCAACATGGGACCGGCATTCTACTCATCGTACGGCGGTGGCAACACCGAGTACAACTGGTCGGATGCCTCATCCGTCTCAGTCAAGCCGTCACCTGAGCAATCACGGTCAAGACAGTTTCAGTTCACCAACATGACTGCACAAGATTTCCACGGGGAATGAGGTGTCGTTCACAGCGTGGCTTGAACTCTACATCGGCCTTGCAGAGTAGAGTTTTAAGGGGTTCGATTTGTCATCACAGCAGTCAAAAAAAAAACTTGCTCACCATGTATACTTGGCGCTGTACAACTACCAAGGTTTTCTACTGCGTGGATTTTCACTTTGTACATACAGCGATTTGCTTTGTCATTGGGCCATCGGCGCTTCACCGGGGAACAACCTTACACTTGGACTACACGGGTCCTCCTTTTCCTTACTTTTTTTTGTTTATCTCTCTTCGTCTGCAGCAACGATTTTCCTTTCTCATGATACCTACTGCATACACCAAAGAAACAAATCTCTTTACCTAATGTAATGATATACATACGGCTTATGTCCTGCTGGCGGCGGCGCTGTTTGTGGCTGGAGAGGGTGGGGGGAAGAGGAAAAAAAGGGACCTGGATACCCCATTGGAAGCACAGGACAGGTGGCGGAAGGGTTCGAGGTTACGCGTCTTCAGATGCGTTGGGTCAACATATGCCTGCCCTCAACCTCCAGGCGTTCGCGCCAGCGTGAGGGGAAGAACGCGACCCTGCGTGGATGTCACAGAACAGGTCAGCACGTATAGGATTGCAAAGTTCGAGGTGCAGGATGGGGTGGTCGGAACGGGATGGGCTTGGATAGACGGATGGGTGGTATGGGAAGGATAGGATAGGGCGTTCATTCTGCCAGCGATCTATCTACAGCTTCAGGTTAGGGAGGTCCAAAATCAAAAAAGTATTTGCCGCACAGTCCACCGGGCACCCCGTTCACTCTGGTGAACATCAGATGGAATCGCTTGCCCGGTGTAGTCCCCACCCACACCGAGGGTATCGCGCCTTCCCATCAGTGTCGTATGGTATATAAGGGGTCAGAAGTGCCCGTCCTTTCGCCCACCGGACGCGGTGGGACACAGAACGTCGACGGGCGTTTAGCCGCAGTAGCCGAGCGGGTTGTAGTCCAGCTGGTAGAAACTTGAATCTTGAGACAGAACTGCCTTGATAGTGATGGTTTCATAGGAGCTCGAACCTCGCAGGTTCGAGCTCTGAACTTTTGCATTTTTGACCCATTGACCATTTGTCATTTTCACGTATCTAGTCGGTACATTGCTCAAGAATGATTCCTTTTTGTCAAATAAGTGTTTGGGGGTGAGTTATGGATGATGAGGGTGATTGCACCATAGTAGAATTGCATCGCGATGCCCGGCGTGGTGTTGTTTACTTTTCTGGGTGGGATGGGGCATCCCGCGGCAACGGCAGGTCACGTTACTTCCATGGGTGAATATACGCTGGCAGTATCTTATCTATCGAATAACCGCGACTGAACCGGGAACACGACAGGCTGAATGAAAGCAATTGAGCATACCTAGGTATAGTTCGCGCATTTCCCACCGCTTACCTATTCATGTACTGATATCGTGAGTCCCGCCTGCGCTTGAGTAGGTAAGCCAGCGCATTTGACGTCTATGCCTATTCCTACCCTGCTTATGGGCCTAAGACTTCCAGATTACATATCATTGATATTGAACACGGTTACTCTTATGTTCTGGCTCTTGTCACATGCTTTGAGATAAATGTCCAGAGTCCTACAGTCGCAACTAAGCGCATCTGACGTTGGGGGAATGTAAGGTGAAGTGAGGTGAAGTCGCAGCAGAGTTCCATTGAAGAACACCGGCCCCACTCTTCCGAAAGTCAATTGGGCCAATGGCACCCGAGCGGTCATTTTGCGAGGAAGGTCCCTCCCCCTTCGGCATTGGGTTTTTGGGGAAAGCGGTTCGTGTGGGGAAGGAGACAATGTCAAACCTCCCGTCGCTGCCCACTGCGCTGCAGGAATGCGTCTGATCTGCAACGTCTTTCTTCGATACGTCTCTTCTTCTTTCTAATTCTCCGAAACAAAGACAAGGCTTGGTTTTTGACTTCACATTGAGTTTAAGATATATCCACATTCCTTCGCTCGCTCTTTGTTCGACCACATGGTCCGAGGAATGCGGGCGATACTCGCATTCCAATCGCTTTCCACGTCTGGCACGCGGATACACGAAGACCAGGCTACAAAAACCACGTTTTGGCTAAGCTTATCCGCCCCGGATACCACGTTGAAAACAAGACACACACACACACAGCCTTCCGTATTCCGCATTCCGTTCGCCGCTGGAACGCTGGAACTCCTTTTCCCCTCGCGCCATTTGGGCAAGGACCAAGGTACTCACTCGGACTTGGTTATCGGAGACATCAAGAACCCCGAGCTAAGACCAATCAAGGTAAGCCAAGGTGGAGGATCGTTCATTCAACATTCCCAATCGCCCCCGAACCTGCCAATCTCGCTCTCTGTCTCGTCCCAGGGACACCCCAGGTTCTTCCCCCGCTCCCCGCATCAACCTCCACCGGCTTTCTGTCACGTCGACAATCGACTGGATTTCTTCTGCCGTTCACCACAGCCGGCATCCACTGCTACCCACGCGGAGATGGCCCTAGTCGGTGGCAGCAACTCCGAAAGAGGGCATCATTACCACTCGATGGGGAGTTGCTAGACCGCTTCTGGTGCGATCACCCTCTTCATATCTGCTTTGTTGATGCGGAGAGGAGGAAGCACCCGGAGTTGTCCCGTCTATGGACAACAAAAGTCCTGGTTGTCGACTCGCATCGGCCCCAGGCCGCGGGGCCCAAGTAATGCCTCACGTCTTGGTTACTTACTTGGGGCGATGACGGAGGGCCGGCAACCTTGCGAACGTCTCTTATTCGATCTCCATTAGCTATTCCCCTCGCCATGTAGAGAAGCGAATCGTGTCGGTCCGATAGACCCCAGTTTCTGATTACCGTCCAACCTTGTCGAGCGAAATCTCGTGGCCATGTTTTGCTAATGGGGCAGGACGGCGTAGTACCTTAGTAGACGATGTCCTTCGACATGAAGAGGTCGCGGTATAAAGAGGGTTCTAAGGTCCCTGATGGCCGATCTCCCCTTTTGCCGACACCTAGGCCACAGCCGGATCAATATCAGCTTCTAAAGAGAATGGCTTTCTTTGTGTACTTTCTGGCTACGGCCCTGTACCTGTCCGCGCCGGTGTGGTCCGCCGCTATCCGTGGTAGAGACAACGGTCCCGTTGTCAGTGTAAAGAATGGCTCTTACGCAGGCATTCACAGCGCAGAGTATGGCCAGGACTTTTTTCTTGGAATGCCATACGCCAAGGTACGTGGCTGTAAACTTCGTTTAATGACGACATACTGAACATTCTAGACTCCTGAACGATTCCGCATCGCCCAAGGCCTAGACTCAACATGGAACGGCACGCATACAGCCACGGAGTACCCAAAGCACTGCGTTGGTTATGGCTCTGACATGATTGGCTACGAGTCTTCGGAGGACTGCCTGTATCTCAATGTTGTTCGCCCGGCCGGTATCGCTCCCGACGCGCAGCTTCCCGTAGCTGTGTGGATCCACGGCGGCGGTCTGGTGAGTTCTTTCGCCGGATCCTCGTGAGAACCACTGCTGACAGTGACAAGTACATGGGCGGATCAGCAGACAGACGATACAACCTCTCCTTCATCGTCGAGAATAGTGTCAAGCAGGGTACTCCCCTCGTTGCGGTCAGCTTGAACTATCGTCTATCCGTCTTTGGCTTCCCCGGTGGCAAAGAGGCCCTTGATGCTGGCGCGACCAACTTGGGTTTCAGAGACCAGCGCTTGGCTCTGCATTGGGTCAACGAAAATATTGCTAGCTTTGGCGGCGCCGCCGACAAGGTTGTCATCTTTGGTGAAAGCTCGGGTGCTGAGAGTGTTGCTGGGCAAGTGCTAGCCTACAACGGTAAGCTGACACCATTCGGATGCGAGATATACTTTGCAACTGACATTATCAAGGACGCGACGACGGCCTCTTCAGAGGCGCGGCTGCGCAGTCCGGCTTCGGAGGGCTCATCCCCCGCATGGTCGGCGGCTTCAATTCCACTGCCTACCAGACCAACTACGACCTCTTCGTCGGCAACATCTCCTCTTGTGCCTCCACCGTCGGCACTCAGGAGTCGATAGAGTGCCTACGTACAGCACCTCTGGAGGAGTTCAATGCCGTGCTGAACGCAACCACGTCACCCTTCAGCTTCATTCCCATGAAAGATGGCGACTTCCTTGCAGACTTTGCGACGTCGCAGCTCGAACGCGGAGACTTTGTAAAGGTCCCCATTCTGATCGGATCCAACTCTGATGAAGGTTCTGCATTCGGCCAGGGAAGGGGCCCGAACGGCGGACCGATCAATACTGATGAGGACATGGCGTTCGCCGTACGCAGCATCATGGCTCCTGATGTCGAGGAGACTACAGGCCAAAGCATCGAGGAGCTTGTTGATGAGGCATTGGCCCTATACCCCGATGACCAAGCCGTCGGTATTCCGAGCTTGCAGACGTGGCCACACATCATCCAGCCAGGCGAGGAGATTGCCGTAGCTCGGGGCCTGCAGCAGAGACGCGGCGGGGCTTTCTTCGGGGACATGTATGTCCCAATGACTTTCCGGTATGCTTGGCATGTGTATGCTAACATTCAGACAGGTTCTTCGGCTTCCTTCGCCGCAGGGCCAACATCATATGGTCCCAAAACGGCGTGCCGTCTTACGCATACCGCTTCGACGTTACCGTGAATGGAGTACCAGAGTTCATTGGCGCGACTCACTTCCAGGAGGTAAGTTTGTTGCTTGTGACGTGGCGAAGATATTCGCGGTTCGTCAGCTGTTGTGCAAAGACTAACCCCCACTCAGGTCGCATTCGTATTCAACAACCTCAACGGCCTTGGCTACGACGTAAACCCTTTTGGAGGCAACAGCACGAGCTACACTGAGAAGGCCACCGCGCTCTCAAAGACCATGTCCGCAGCGTGGGTCAATTTCTTCGTCTCTCTCGATCCCAATGGTGCTCCGGGTCTGGGTGAGTGGCCTGCCTACTCGACGGAAGGAGGTGCACCTGGTAGCGACGTGGTGTTTGGTCTCAACGGCACTGTGTTGG